AGGGAATTTTTTAATACTGCTATAACCAAACTAATTAAAATATTCTCTTCCCTGTTTACACATCAACCTTCTTGGGAGCTTAGCACTGGAAAAGAGATTTTTTTTCATTTGAGTGCCTCCAATTTTTTAGGACTCCGACATGTCTCTGATGACCAGAAGACTCACAAGAATCCTAGTCTACGTGCCCAGGGTCCACCAGTGCGTTCTCCTACAAAAAGTCATATGCCAAGCCCCACTTCTCCCAAGACTCCTCCTCGGCAAAGCCATTCACCTGTGTTAGAACTAGAAGGAAAAAAATGGAGAGTGGTAAGTTCAGGTCATGTCTATGAGGCATCTTACACATGTACAATGACCACTTGCACAGGCAACATCCTCAGAGGGATGGCAATCTCAGTGCTTTTCCTAGAACAGAGTGGTTCTGCGCTGCCCCATCTGGCCACAGATTAGCCCTTGACATTCTATAGGATTTAGAGTTAGTTCATGTATCTGTGAGATTAGGACAATATTTTACCTAAATCGGAGAATATAGTTATACATTCCTGAACCAATACTTCATTTCTTCACTCAGTCTGAAGGACCCTGAGAGAAAAATTAAAGAGAACTTCTATTAAGGTTTCATCTTGCAAGGTGTTCTTATATGTGAATGATACTCTTATGATACAGTGGGAATGTTATTTCCCTCTATTAGCAGATGGGAATATTGCTGCTTAAATACTTATATTTTAAGTATCACCATCCCCTATTCAGTTATTTAAAAACAGAGAAAATATTTGTTCTCCATCTTCTTACCCAGTCTGTAGAAGAAATAGTTTGAGTGGTTTAAAGATGTTGGTGTTGGTTTTTGTAGGGACGTGCAAATAAATTATTCAGGGAAAATTATATGGCTGCTTGGCTGTGCTGGTTATAAGAAGGAAAAGACAAAATGTAGTTTACATAGTTGTAAGTTTGCATTGGAATATCATGAGCTCTTGTTTCCATGGATCACAGTTCACATGAAATATATACAGTGTTTGCATCGACTGGCCTATGCTAATTTAAAAACACTTAGAAACTGCTGGTGTAATCAGAGTCTTTTTATTGAAGTAGGATGTCACTGAGCCCTTGGTATATTACAAATGAAAGGAGACGTATTCATGTTCTAATCATTGTTGTATACTGTGCTGCCCACACCTAACACCGATGCATTATGTAATAGTATGGCAAAAAATTGTTCTTTCTGAAGGCGCCTACTTGTTCTAAAATTGAGTGGTAACCAAGCAACTGCACTGGTGTAACTTTAAATAGTTTTATGTATAAATACTTAATTCCAAAATAAACAGGCTTTTTGACCTGGTCTGTACTAAGTTCTCCAAAATGCAGAACTCCACAGCACTAAGCCCTCTGCACACCTCCCATTCAAGGTCTCATGGGCACCATCAGTTAGTTTCAGTCAGCCTTCAGTGAGGATGGAGTGGACCCTCAGCAAGTTTGCAGATGGCACCAAGCTGGGGGGATTAGTAGATACACTGTAGGATAAGGCTAGGATTCAGAGAGACCTCAGCAAATTGGAGGATTGGACTGAAAGAAATCTCATGAGGTTCATTAAGGACGCGTGCAAAGTTCTATACTTAGGATGAAACAATCCCATGCACCAGTAACAGGCTGGAGGCTGACTGGCTGGGCAGCAGCTCTTCAGAAAAGGACCTAGGGGTTACAGTAGACAGAAAGCGGAATATGAGCCAACAGTGTGCCTTTGTTGGGAAGAAGGTTAGCAGCATACTAGGTTGCATTAGTAGGAGTGTTGCCAGCAGATTGAGGAAAGTGATTCTTACTCTCTATTTGGCACTGGTGAGGCCACATCTAGAGTACTGTGTACAGTTTTGGACCTCCCACTACAGAAAGGATTCAGACAAATTGAGGAGAGTCTAGTGGAGGGCCACAAAAATGGTTAGAGGGCAGGGATACATGACTCCTCAGGAGAGGCTGAAGGAACTGGGTTTATTTAGTTTGGAAAGAAGAGAAGACTGAGAAGGCATTTAATAAGCCTTCAACTACCTGAAGGGTAGTTCCAAAGAGGATGGAGCCAAACTGTTTTCAGTGATGGCAGATGACAGAACAAGGAGCAATTGTTTCAAGTTGCAGCAAGGGAAGTTTAGGTTAGATATTAGGAAAATCTTTCTCACTGGGAGGCTAGTAAGCACTGGAACAGGTTGCTCAGAGAGATGATGGAATTTCCTTCCTTGGAGGTTTTTAAGACCCAGATAAATAAAGCCTTGGCTGGGATGTTTTAGTTGGGGATGGTCCTGCTTGGAGCAGGAGGTTGGATTAGATGACCTCTTGAAGTCCCTTCCAGCCCTAATTGTCTGTGATTCTTTGATTCTTGGATATTTCCCTTTGAATTAAAAGCGCAGTTACTGGAAAATGTCATGTTAAAATCTGCTCTCTTATTGATGCTTTAAGACAATAATCAATTAAACAAACGTATGCATTTTTAAAAAAAAACAGGAATACCAAGACGATAAGAATGACCTTGTTATTACTGACACCGAACTCAAGCAAGTGGCATACATTTTTAAGTGCAACAAATCTACACTACAGATAAAAGGAAAAATAAATTCCATTACAGTTGGTGAGTGGACAGTGTCATATGAAATCATTTTGTTAAAACTGGCATGTGCAAGTAAACTTTATGCATTCGAATAATTCTGCTTAATGGAACTACTTATATGCTTAAAGTTATTCACATATCTAACTTTTTCCAGGAATGAGTATAAGTGTTGTAATGTAAGATGATTTTTTGTTTGTTTGTTTTAAAGAAGCAATTTTTATTTTCCTTCATTTGTTTGTTTTTTCTTCAGACAACTGCAAAAAGTTTGGCCTCGTGTTTGACAATGTCGTGGGCATTGTGGAAGTGATCAATTCCAGAGATATTCAGATTCAGGTAAATAGTCATTTGGAAAACAAAGATTAAAAAAAAAGAAGAAAATTAAAATAACATTCAGTTATTAGAGATTATTTATACTATCTAGAGTGTACCATATGCTATTGAAATTACCTTAAGATTCATGAAATTCTTCCAACTTGCCTAGAAAAAGGTTGTGAGTGACTCTTGATTGTGGGTGCTTGTAAACATGCTGGGAGGCTGCTCCAGAGTGCTGTAATTACAGTGCATTGGAGCAGACTTGATTAATAGAGTCTGCTGGAGTGTGCTAACTAGCCTCTAGCCAGTGTCCACATCTCGTGTATCAGCGTCCCTGTGCTTTAAAATGGTGGCACAGGCTCTTTACCTCAAGCTTATTCAATTAATTTTAGGTTAGATAGAGTGGCTCTCGTGTAGATGTGGCCAGTAAGTATTCCAGCATTTTTGTTGGTATGACAGAAGGAGAAATGCATTATTTCCCACCTTGATGCCAATCTTTAGGCAAACATTCCCCACTGATAGTGATTGATTCTTCTACTTAAAATGATACAACCCATTGATTGACATTAAAATCAACCTAGCTGCAATGGCCTACTTGCAAAGATGAGACAAGAGACTGTATGTGACAATGGACACTTGGGTTGTTTATACACATGCTCCAGGGTTGGAGGGGGCATTTCAATTAAAGCAGCTCATAGACAGCCACTCTAATTAAAACGCTGCAGCATCATGTGTATCTAGCATCCTGCATTTCAAGATGGCTATGGGGTGCTTTAACTAAAGCGCCCCCAAGTTTTTAATTAAAGCACCCCTGCTGCCATTTTGAATCTTGAATCATGGGATGCTGAACACATGAGACACTGCAACATGCTGGAGTCTCCTAATTAGAACATGCCAGCAGACTTGACTAATTGAGAGTCAGAGCTGACTTGATTAATCAAGTCTGCTCTGATGCATTGTAATTAGATGTATAGGCACCCTTGATTATGTTCATTTCTCAGTGGTGGCAAATGATAGAACAAGGACCAATGGTCTCAAATTGCAGCAAGGGAAATTTAGTTAGATATTATGTATTAGATATTATCTTCTCACTAGAAAGGTAGTAAAGTAGTGGAACAGGCTACCCAGAGAGGTTGTGGATTCTCCATCCTTGGAGGTTTTTAGGACCTGGCTAGACAAAGCCTTGGCTGGGATGATCTAGTAGGACTGGTCCTGCTTTGAGCAGAGATTGGATTAGATGTGACCTCCTGAGGTCCCTTCCAACCCTCACTTTCTATGATTCGGTGATCATCATTGTAGTAGGAGACTGATGCTGAAAATGAAGTCTTAACAGGAATGAAAATGGGACACTTTTTAAAATTGTTATGTATGTGCTTATCATAAGGTTCACATGTGGCAAAGCAGTTAAGACTTCTTGCTACAGCTCTAGAGGCATGAGTTCAAGCTTTCTTCTGCACTTAGTCTAAGAGCTGCCCTCAGCTGACCTAGCTGCAAATGGGTGCTGGTAATTCAGATTGGAAAGTCAAAGATAGCTGGATGCAATGATGGGCTGTTAGGCACTGGATGACCTCTGTACTTATCAGTGATCACACACTGTTTTAGTGTGATGACTTTGAATAACCTCTTCCTGGCTGATCTGCTGACCAGAGTATATTGCTATCTCTAGTTTCAGTTATGGAGGGGTGGGAAGAGGAGTAGGAATATTGACAAGTGGTGACACAGGCAGCCTGCCCTGTAGAGATATTGAGTTCTGCGGGATTGTAAACAAGAGCAGGCTTGTTTTCCCATCTCCCTTCAAGAAAGCCTTTGCACTTGCTTTCAGAGGGATATAAAGAAGCACCTTTATCATTTTAATGAGAGTTGATTTCAGTGTACATTTAGAGCTGCAGTGTGGCTGGAGGGAAAACCCCTTTCCTAAGACCTTGGAGACCCCTGCAGCAAGAAACTTTTGGAGTGGTTCTCTAGCTCAGGAGTATTTGCCATCACTGGAAATAAGGAAGTCTGGATCTCAGTGAGGAACCTTGCAGTTGCACATATGCGTCAGTGGGACTGTACATGGATTCTGTCATGTTTTCCCCTTTGGTAAAGACAATTAGGGTTGGGGACTTCAATTTGTATGTATGTTTAAGTTAATACTTGGTATTTTAGAACTTCAGGGTCTGGAGGAAAAATTGAATATAGTTGCAAATCTTAGCACAATGGCTTCTCACCTAGGGTGCCACAGCACCCTCTGGTGCCTTGAGATCCTTTCAAAGGTGCCATGGGGAGCCGCACAGTATCAGTACTGTTAGGTGTGCAGGTATGATTCACAGGATAAACCCAGAGATCTCAAATAGAAATCCATGGTGGTAATCCCATTGTGCCCTGCTGTGATCTTCCTTTGTTCTTTGCAGCAGGAGAATTGTTCTATTATTTTTCCATAGTCAAAAGAGGAGTGAAAATTAAGGGTGTCTTTACATATGCTCCGGGCTTGAGGTGGAGGCGCTTTAATTAGAGTGGCTCCAAGAGCCACTCTAATTAAAGCACCCACAGTGCCACGTGTATTCAGTGTCCCACACTTTAAAATGGCAACGGTGATGCTTTAACTAAAGCTTGTTCGACAAGCTTTAGTTAAAGCACCCCCGCCACCATTTTGAAGCGTGGAGATGCTGAATACACATGACATGGAGGCTGCTGGAGTGGGCTAATTAGCATGTGTCAGAGCAGATGTCTGGCATGTGTATAGGTGCCCTAGGAGCTGGCATTTTCTGAGTTATGCCTTGACTCGAGTCTAACAAGGTTGAGAACCACTGACACAGCAGCTTTCTACTAGCATATCAAAGGAACAGAATAAATATAATTAAGCTTCCAAATAAAAATATCATACAGACAGCTGACATACATCTGATACAAGTGAACAAAGACAGCCCTGGCAGGTGAAGAAGGTTTGTTTGTTTTTTGTTGTTTTACTAGTAGTGTTAATAATCTGGATTTGGTATTAGATATATATTTTCCCCCTCAGGTGATGGGAAAAGTGCCAACCATTTCTATTAATAAGACAGAAGGCTGCCACATATACCTCAGCGAAGAATCCTTAGACTGTGAGATTGTGAGTGCCAAGTCCTCTGAAATGAACATCCTCATCCCCCAAGACAGTGACTATGTAAGTGGGATATTTTTAAAGACTGTCACAGTTCTTCCCCCACTTGTAGTCTTTGTAGTTTATTAGCCTTTTATACTTTCCAGCAAAAGGTGCCAGATTTTTTAAATAGTGAACTTTAAATATAGCCTCTTCTAGACAGAAATACACAGAAATATAGCCTCCCTTATATACCAGTAGTTTCAGTCATGAGTCATCAAGGGATATCTTTTTCCAGGGTGAAAGGTAACTCCTTACATTAAAAGAGCCTTTATGTCCTCCTATATCAATTGAGTTTTTATCCTAAATGAAACGGGTATCTACAACCGCCACAAACTCCTGGAAGATAGTTTCAGGCTGAACATTAGGAAAAACTTTTTCACAACTAGGGTGTCCAGACTATGGAACAAGCTCCCCCCAGAAGTGGTATAATCATCTACCCTAGCAGTCTTCAAGAGAAGACTGGACGGTCACCTGGCTGGGGTCGCCTGACCCCAGATGTCTTTCCTGCTCATTCAGGGGGCTGGACCCGATGATCCTTTGGAATCCCTTCCAGCCCTATTGTTCTATGATTCTAAATATAATCTCCCATTTAAAACAAACAACCCCCCCACAAAACCAAAAAAGCCACTCTCATACACATAATTATAGAAAACCCAATGTTAAGATCAACATTTTTGTACTATGTTATAATATATTGCAATGTATTTTAGTGTACAAATACAATACAGTACATTATAACATATATGTATGAAAGCCATTCAAATATAAGATGTACATTGCCTGAAGCAAGGGCTCCTACTCGTGTCTGCTAAGGCTCTTCTACTACGGTCAGGTCTGCAGTATCACAGCATTTTCTTTTGCTGCTAGCATTATTCAGTACACACAATAGAAATTGATATTATTGTCGAACTGCATTGTTGCACCCACTGTCCCCCTCAAATGGTCAGATTTAAAATTGTGAGTACAAGTGTTAACCAAGCATTCTTCTTGATCTTACAACTTTTTTGTACTGGCATTTCCTTCAGTGGATTTTTTATGTATGTATTTATTATGTATTTTTGTTTTTGTAAAGAAGGAGAAAGGACAATAGAAAGAAACCATGCACCATGTTCAAATATTTAAAAAATGACCCCATATTTTGGAAGCCCAATTTCAGATGCCATAAAGCATCTAATTTCCAGAGGATGGGTATTTAACGTTTTCTGAAATTCAGAGCCCTTTAATGAATGTGTCTTTAGGATGACTATCCAGTTACTTCAGAAAAGGAAGCCTACCGAAGCACTCTTAATGAAGTCTGTAAGAAGGAACTTTTTCCTCCACACTTTAGAAGTGGCATATATTTTTTACCATACAAGATGTGCTAGGATTGAGGCAAGGGTTCCAGCAGTGTCCCTGTATGCCTTGACAGATACACACTGAACAAACAGAGGGAGGTTTCCTGTCAAGTCCTGCTTTATTGACTTTGCTTTGCAGGGGATATTATGGCCTTTGGAACGCCTCACTTTTAAAGTAATAGCACTGTCGTGTTTTTATGGGCGCTATGGCCTGTCAAGGAAAAATTGCTGAATAATTAGCCAGAGATTAGGGATTAAACCTTCCACAAATCCTGGGGATTGGCCATGGCATTTGCTTTTCAGAATATCATCTTCCTCTTTAAAATTCTTATCAGCCTTGTCACTAAATATTCAAATTTAAATTCTTTTTACTGAATTCCCACTGAGTTAGCTTGACTGGCAGTTTATCGAATCTGGAGTATTTTCTGAAACAAGATTCATTTGCCTAGCTGTTCCAAATAATGGGAGAGGGGCACTGTAACAAACCAGTGCATTAACAAAGCCATATGAACTATGGTAATAACGTGCCTGTTCTCCTTATGGCATTGAAACCGCTTCCTGGGGTAATGAAGAAGGCCTCTCCTTAATCCACGCATGGCGGAGTTATAAATGCCTTGTCAATCATGCTGCACTAATAGTATTCCATCAGTTTGCATAAGATGTCCAGTGTTTATCTAACTGTCATTGTTGATTCTGCCCTTTACCAGAAAGAATTTCCTGTTCCTGAACAGTTCAAGACAGCATGGGATGGCTCCAAGTTGGTCACTGAACCTGCAGAGATTATGTGTTAACTTCCTAATGCCATACAGCACCTGCTGGCCATGATCACAGACTAAGGTCATTTTAGCAGCATAAAGAACTAGAAGTAGCAGTACAGCATGCTTGCTGTAGTAGGTCTTCAAGCAGCAGATCCTATGTTAAAAACAATAAACATGTCCGGCACGCTTTTCATAGGTATTCTGATATTTTCAGTTTCTACACAGTTTGCCTTTATTTATAGTTTTGATTCGACCTCATGTCATGCAAATGTAAGGGATTAAAATACAAAATACTTAATTCACATCATTGGCTTGTACACTGCACACAATAAGCCAAAATTCTGCATGGTACACTCTGTTATAATCATGTTCCAATGCATTCCTTTTTATGTTTCTGCTAATCAAAAATAATATTTAAAACAGTAAGATGTTTATTTTTACCTTTTAGATGATTCATGTCTGATGTGATGAACATGTATCCCTAGAAAGTGTGTGATTCTTGTAGCTCTGTCCTAACCATCATGGTTTTTATTTCAAAACAGCAAAAAGTACATCTCTCAGCAATACATTTTGCTAGTGGAAAATAAAAGCAGGATATTTTAATCAAACATTTTTCTAGTATGTCTATGTAGAATATCCCTCAAATTTCAACCAGCCAAGTTTTTATTTCACTCTACACAGACTAATTGTTTTGTTTTGCTAATTGTAGATTTATAATGCTTTTTAGAAGATGTTACTTAAGCTAAAGCCTTTCGGGACATCGTTTAGAAGTTCTTCACTCCTCTGATTTCTCTCGTCTCCTCTATTTGTGGTTCATTCTCTTGCTGTTTTCTCCTGTGGTTCTTTTCCCCCCTTAACAAATACATAATCTCACGTCTGGCTCTGATGACTGAGAGGGGGTTATTTTGTGATTTGAGGCACATGCCATATGTCAGATGCCTTAGAGCTGGTTTTCTTACTAATTGTATTTCATTGAACTATTATATAGTAGGTCATATTTGTTGGGGATAAAGTTTTGCTTCTTCCGCCACTTGCAAGACTTGCATATTAATCTTCCCATGCGTCCATGAAGTAAAGCCATAGATTTATTCCGTATTAATTCTGAATCGAAACTAAAGGGATAATTTCTTAGTTTAACTCCTTGATTCTACTTTGTAGTCCTTACTGTACATGCTTTTATAACACTAAGGTGGAGTGTTGTATACATTTGTACAATTTCAGCACATAGTACTAAAAATCAGCTCATGTTTTTGATCACTTGTAATATTTTGTAACAGTGAAATCATGGTTATATGCTTGCAAAGCTAGTTACAGGATGCACATTGTGCCTAATGCACCTTTCAAAGTACATAACTCCTTTAGGTTTTTTTAAATATCTTTGATTGTATTATCTATACAGTACTACAACTAATTGCTCATACAATAAGATTTTGCTATCTGATGTTTTATCTATATGTATAATGTGGTGGCTTTAGTACATACCATTTTTCAACAGTAAACCTATTCTGAAATTTAAAAAAAAGGAAACTGTACATGTTTAAAAACAGTGATTTGTTCAGTGTGTACTTCCTCAAAATGTTTTCCTTCTATGGGTTTCTATTTCCTTAAATGCCATTTGAGAAAGTTGGAAGGAGCAGAGGCAGCTCTCCCTGCTGTTGACTGAGACTCTTTTGTACCATATCCCACCTCACTCCTCCCAGAGAATAGTGTGTGTATTCTGTAGTGGGACAACAGACAAACTTATAATTTAATACATACAGCCTTAGCAGAAACCTCTGCTTTCTGTAATTCATGGTTTAACCTCCTCATTTTTTAGTGCACCTAGACAAACCCAATGGCACGTATACTGAAATGATCATGGTCCAGTGGGAGTCAGCAGGCACGTCTACACGTGCAGTTAATTCGAAGCAATAAACTCTGGCGCAGTTCACACAGGAGTGTATTGCTCCCGGGTGCAGCATTTGAATATGTGCCTGGGTCTGCAGCGCGTTGATCTGGATTGGAGCAGCCCTGGCTGGCAGAGTGCCCAGGGCTCAGTTGTTCTGACCCAGCTCAATGTGCTGCGGAAGAGCTGGCTGGGGCATGAGGCTGCTCCAGTGCAGGGCTAGCCAGCAGGCAGCCCTTACACTGAAGCACCTTCGTGCCCCAGCCAGCCCCGTCAGTGTCTACATGTGGGTTGCGGCACACTAACTATCTCCACCACAGGATGGTACTTGTTTTTACGATGGAGTTCATTAGTTTAGTGCGACCTAATAGGGTTGCACATGCAGACATGGAGACTTTACTGTGGAGCTAATTGGTCAGCTCTGCAGTAAACGTTTTGTGCAGATGCGCACAGTAAACCTTGATTTCTTTTCTCAGCTTTGCCACTGACTGATGAAAGGCAGATTCGTTGTGGACCAGGGGAGGTCTGACAGCATGGTCATGCCCCCTGTCTCCTACCTTCAGCTGTGTGGTGCACGTACCAGAATGTAAGAAGGGCTTCTGCAAGATCCCTGCATGTGCCATGAGTTCTGAGCTCAGCAGCAGCCTGACTAATGCAGGCTCTGGCTGGAGCTCTGGCTTTCATACAGCTCTGGACCCATGGGGGTGAGCACTGCTGCTGCCACTAATTCCCTCTTTTTCCCTACTGCTGAATTCAATGAGAGGGAGTACAGGAAGAAGGGAGGGTGAACAGTGATGGTGTTCACCTCTTGGACTCTACAGTCAGTGCGAAAGCAGGGGCTCCAACTGGAGCCCATGCCAATCAGTTGGTGAGCCCAGAGAGCTCATGGCATGTACAGAGTTCAGGTAGGAGCTGCACTGACATGCCAGTGACCTCAGAACTCACTGTGCATGTGCTGCACTGCCAAAGGAGGTGGAGCCACCCCTCTTTGCTGCGATCCTGGATCTGTCTGTGCCACTGACTCGCTGTATGAACATGAGTGTGTTGCTGTGGGTCTTATTTTCAGAGGTGTACAGCAGGGAGTGATCCACTAGTAGAATAAATTGGATAACTGGCATGACAGAACAGCTTTATTTACCTTCAGGGCACAATAATAATTTCTGCAATGAACTAATTACATATTGGAGCATTCTGAATCTGAATAGTACAGATTCTCCTTTTATCTAGCATCCAGTATTAAGATTAGAAATATCATTCCTCAGCAGCACAATACCAACTAAACATTTGAATTCCTGACCCAAAACAAGGTGTAAATGCTCAAGAATCAGCAGAAAGCAGAGATGCATCCTTAATTTATTACTCAGTCAAGTCATATGCCTAAGGGGAGCTAGTAGTATCAGCTCTCACCTCAAATAGGATCATAGGAAATAATATGAAGTGGAAGGGAGCTTATAGATGCATCCAGACACGTGCAGCCATGTGGTATGTGACACCGCAAATGTGTCTGCAGCACCACATACTGCATGTTCAGTTGTTCTCCGCACTGCAAGCGAACAACATGGAGGGTTTTTTTGATCCCTGGATATCCAGTAGTCAAAAAACCTGTGGAGAAAAAAAGTGGAGCAGCACATGCACGGGCAGCACGTGCTGCTCAAAAGCGGAGCTGGGCCACCCAGAGCCACGCTGCAGCTGCCAGCCAGGTTCTGCATGGCAGATTTGCCACTGCTGCAACCGCAGGAGGACCCCAGGTAAGGCTGGTGGGGCCAGCCCAGTGCTGGCCACAGCCTCCCTTACCACCCATGTGGGGTAACTTGACATGTGCCAGAGTGTGCATGGCATGGGTGTTCCCCAGGGACAACTAGTGGCGGTTCAAGGTATGCTGCTATTAGTTGTCCCTGGGAAACCAAATGTCCATGCCATGTGTGGATATGGCCTATGAGGTCATAAATTCAGCCCCCTGCTCAAGGTAGTCATCCCTGACTTAAACCATCCCAGTCAAGTGTCTGTCTAACCTACTCTTGAAAATTTCTAGGGACAGAGGTGATTACTCTTTGAAGAGATGTATGCTTGTATGACTCTTCTCCTAAATATTTACAGAGAATATTTACTGCTGTGGTACAGCTTTCTGTAAATGGATTATGTTCCTGCAAATATTCCATAAATACTGTGGAAATGACACAGAAGAAATGATCCTCTTAGATGCTGATATCAGACACGAGCTCCTTTAATATGTTTTTAAAAAACAGTTGTTAAGCTTCCTTGCCATCAGTCCTCAAGTAGGTTGGACTGCCCTTTCACCTATGATGGCAACTAATTTTTAACATATTTTAAAAACAGCTTCTAACTTCACTTTATATAATCTCTGTGTTGTTGCCTCTGGAGAATAATCCTCTCATGAAAATCGTGCGCGTAAATGTCTACACGTTTGGGTGTTCTGCAAAATAATGATCTGATAATATTAAAGCAGTCTGCTGGCTTGGTCTTCATTTAACGCCTCCTCCAGGTTTGATACCACAACTGTAGATTGTGATTTCAGATGAGACATAAGCAAATGAACTCTGTGCAACCGTAATGTGCTATGACTTGTTTTTTATTATCCAGTACTGCCTCACTAGTTTTCTTCCTGATTCCAGCTTACCTACATCCCAGTAACACCCCTATTTTGCTTATCAAGATTATTCCCTGTTCTGATTGCCACATCATGCTACTTAGAATCCATTTCAGTGAATACTGCAATTGGGGAGTACATAATGAAGGTTTTAGCTTCATTTGCCAAACTTGCCATCACTTTCTATTAGCAAACAAGCATATAGGGTGCATCTACAAAAGACACCTCACTGCATGTTAGACTCATCTATTGCACAGTAAAGCATCACTGTCTACACATGTGCAGGACTTACTGTACATTAAATTAGTCCAATGCACCATTTCCTAATAACACATACAGGTACTAGACATGTGCTGTAGTGCATGTGTAGGCACAGATCGGGAGGAATTTGCTCCTGGTCAGCCCAGGTAGCAGGGGGCCTGCTGCTGCCGGGCTAAGCCCCATTGTGAAGGGAACTGTGCTGGCTGCAGGGGCAGCTGTGTCCTCACCATGTCCACGTGGCAGGGAGATAGCTGCCTCTGCAGCTGGCACAACTGTCCTGGCCACATGGGGACCAGGACCCATCCCAATCCCCATATGGCAGGAAGACAGCTGCCCCTGCAGCTGGCACAGCTCTCCCTGCCTGGCAGAGATTGGGACTGGCTCCCGTGCCCCCTGTTAGCCCTCCCGGCTGACACCCAGGGGAGCCTGGAGCTCCTCCTGGCTCTTGCAGGGGGCAGAGCAAAGCAGGATCAGCCCTGGACAGGCCTGCTCCTGTCAGAAGCAATTTGCTCCTGACAGAGTTGTACATGTAGACATACACCTGGGAGCACGTTAATGAGCCTGACTTTTCTGCATAGATGAATGCATTAATGTGCCTGCACAGAAAAGTCAGGTACATTAATTGCATGTGTAGATGTGCCCACTGATACGGACAAGAAAAATGAGAAGGGCAGTACAATTCAAATGGGTGTATTCCATGATAGCACTATTAAAATAGCTGCAACATTTAATGAACATCAGACTTAGTTGAATGTGTGATTCTTCATCAACAATGTGATAATTTTCCTCCCCCCACAAGGTGGGCATCTGTTTAAATAATAGTTTGTAAAATGACCCAGTTTGTTGAAAACCAC